ATGGCTCTATTGTCTCAGGAAGACTGAGCAGGTGGCTGGGTCAGTGCAGGAACTCTGCTAAAACTCAAGTTTATGTTAAATTAAATTTAATCTCATCCTTTAGGAGGGGGAATTTTCCCATCCTCGTGGTTATTTTTGAGACATTAAGTGATAATACATGTGATTACTAGTATAATAAGTGATATGTTGAAGTCATTCCATATACATTAGTAACATGTAGAAAGAACAATCTATAATAATAAAAGCGTAATATGGTAATTAGACTGGACCACCTTCCGGATGAAGCCACGGTGGCGGGGGCCAAGGCAGAGGCCCCCAGCCACCACTCCCAGGCAGAGGCAGCAGCGGCGGCGGGGGCCAAGCCCCTTGCATGAATTTCATGCATCGGGCCTCTAGTTAAGTATATTATACACATCAATGTAGGATAAGTCAGGGGAAATGTATTCATCTTAGCAACTAAAGCAAAGACTTGGTAACACATATCAGCCCTTATGTATCTGAATGATTTTGGAGCATGATGATTCTTAAATAGGTATTTATCAAAAAACAGATAGTGTACTCACCAAAGTGTTCAAACTGCATACACTATTGAGTCTTGCCTTGTAGAAGAGTGAAAAGAGAAGTAGATTTGGCATCTGGAAATCTTAAGGGTTTTTTCCTTATCTATAAAATGAAAACAGTAATGGGACCTTTCATATGAGGATGTTGTGGGTCTCAGAATGAATCTTGTATAAATTATTTAGAAGTACAGATATAATCATTACATATAAGCTATTTGATTAATTAAAATATATATATCTGGTACATTTTTATATGTACATTATAGATTAAGTCCCTAATTCACAGATATCTTGGAAAAACACTTAATTTGATTTTGCAGCACAGTGAATTAAAAAGAATTTCTAACTTGTGAAGTGTGTCTATGCATGTGTTCATATGGACATATCTATTCCTATCATACATATCAACTTTAGAAAAAGTCAGGACTAAGTTGCTGAATTGTTTGAGGTAACAATTCATGGGATGATATAATTTAAAATTCTATGACTAGCATGAAATATGTGATTTTAAGGGCCAGGAGCTATCGTTCAGTATGACTTCTAAACACATGAAAATAAACTTAAACTCAATATCAGTCTCAGTCGTATGACTTTATGGTGATATAATATGACCCCAACTTCCTTCTGTGAAGGGGAAATAGCCCTAAACCAAAGGCCCTTGATCTTCTGAACTCTGATGGATTTGGGCAGTTACATCTAGCTGCTATAACAGCTGTGAAAAGCAGGACTACTGTGTATCCTAGAGAAGAAGAATTTGTAGCTCTCAGAACATCTTGCAGGGAGGGGCAAGGTGATAGGAGAGGGAATGGGGAGAAAACCCAAATCCTTACTGAAGTCCATTAAAACCCAAAGATAATTGGTATAGATAATTATATACTTTTCTGGTGGAAACTAGTGAGAGCTGGAATCTGGGTCACTTTTTTACATGGAACCAGGACTCCAGGACACAGAAGATAATGTAAGACTTTAAGTCCCCGTGAAGTTTCAGAAGGCGTTTGGACTTCCTGACTGTGAAATTGGTAGGTATTTGAGCAAATTATACCATCAGGGGGCAGAGGCCCCAGCTTATACCTGTGTTATACCAGTAAGACATATACTTACTTATTTGTAATTTTTAGCCTGTCTGCTTCTAAAAGGAGAAATAAGCCCTAACTGGTTTGGCTCAGTGGATAGAGTGTTGGCCTGTGGACTGAAGGGCCCCATGTTCGATTCCGGTCAAGGGCATGTACCTGGGTCGCGGGCACATCCCCAGTAGGGGGTGTGCAGGAGGCAGCTGATCGATGTTTCTCTCTCATTGATGTTTCTAACTCTATCCCTCTCCCTTCCTCTCTGTAAAAAAATCAATAAAATATATTTTTTTAAAAAATAAAGGGAGAAATAATACAGTTGTATTATTTAGTATAATATAACTTTACATAGTAGAGTTAACCTAGGCCAGTGGTTCTCGAACATGGGGCGGGAGGAGGGAAGATGTAAGGGGATGGGAAGGACAATTTTTCCCTCAGAAGACATGTGTTAATGTCTGGAAATATTTTTAATTGTCACAACCAGGGGTTGCTATTGTCACCTTGTGAGTTGGGGCCAAGGCTGCTCCTCATTATATGACGTGCAGAACAGGCTCCACAGGAAAGAATATCTGACCCAAAAAGTGAATGGTGCCGAGTTGTGAAACCCTGGCTTAGGTCAGCCTTTCTTTATACAAATGAGAAACTGAACATCAGAGAGGTTCAGTGACACATGCCCCGTCACACAGTGAGCAAATCGAAGAGATAAATCCTTTAGTGTTTTTCCCATCACACTATGTAACTTCTAAAAGCTAAAAAATGGAACTGTCGGAAAATAAAGCTTCTTATGGACAAATTTAGGCTTAAGATGTACTAAATGCAAAATTGCATAAAACTTTAAAACACAGAACTGCTTACATTAGGAAATCTGGGCAACCAGAAAAATAGAGAATTTTATCATGTAATGTACACTTGATTGCATGTAGTGAAACCTATTTTTCATAATATTTAACCAAAGTACTGCCCAGCTAGTGGTTCTTACACTTTAGCATGCTTCACAGTAACTTGGGGGGCTTGTTAAAAATCAAATACCCCCACCCCAACCCCAGAGGTTCTGACTCAGCAAGTTTTGCGTGAGGCACGAGAATCTGCATTCTTAAAAAGTTCCCAGGTGATGTTGATGCTTCTAGTTGGGAGGTGACATGTTGAGGACCACTGACTGGCCTAGAACAGGTACTCCATAAACGTTAGCCTAATATTGTAGGTTCTAAAAATATAATATCACTTTATGATGTAATCTCATGTTAGCAAAGATTAATCAATAAAGGTAATTCCCTTAGAGAAACTACAGATAGCAGAAGCAAAACTAACTTTATACCTCCTTTAACTCAAATCCTTTACTTTAAAAATGAAGACATTAAGAGAACTTTTTAGGCTTCATTGCCTAAAAAGAAGAATCCCATTTAGACAATGGGCAAACAAAAAGTATCAAATAAAAATCATTTATAGACCATTTGAGTACTGATAGTGTTTCCTTGAAGATAAGTAAACTCAAAGATTGTGAGTACAACTAAGTATGAATGCATCATTTTTAATGTTACAGTTATGAGGAATATTCTGTATGCCAAGCTGAATAAAACCTGGTCTGGTGAGGCGCTTATGCCAAGCTAAGTCTATGGGGAAAATGCCTATTGACATCAGTAAGATAAAATCCGTCCCTGAGGAACTATAACTGTCTCCTCAAATTATTTGGGGAAAATGTACATGCTTAATCAATTAAATATAGCATAAAATGTTAAGCAGTATATTCCCATCATAAGTAATCAATGTGCTACTGTTGGGAAGGACAATTTTTCCCTCAGGAGACATGTGTTAATGTCTGGAAATATTTTTAATTGTCACAACCAGGGGTTGCTATTGTCACCTTGTGAGTCGGGGCCAGGGCTGCTCCTCATTATATGACGTGCAGAACAGGCTCCACAGGGAAGAATATCTGACCTTCTATCATGATTAATAGAATGAAAAGTAGCCCATAAGAAATTTATTTTAGTGACACCCATTTTCATTTCTTTAAGTTAGTAAAATGAATGCAAGAAATTCCAGAGACTTAAAACTACCTGTTTACCTAGTGAAGGTGCTCTAATTACCTGCCTTGTGACGGTGCCCCCATTGAGAGACACCCAGTGACTGAATATTCAACTTCCCACTTAGCTCTTCAATCATGAAGACAGTTTACACAACCTGCACTTTACTACCTCATGGCATCCTGTTCAAGGGACTGAACTTCACTGCCCAAGGGCGCACAGGAAGCCAAACCCTCTCAAATGTGCTGCATTTGTCTTCCGTTGTTTAAATATCCAGCTACGTTCTAAATTTGGTGCCATCTGCTGTACCATCATCTCTGGTTAAGTCTTATTAAAATTCCTTGCCCATATCACACTGCTGCTGCAATCTCACCCTGCTACTTCTCCAGGCTTTTCTGCAGCATTCACCAAGAGCCTGCTATTCTAATGAATTCCCACACCAGGGCACAGTGAGAGTCTAAAACAGAATTGGCGCTATACGTTTCTACTTTGATTCAGAGAGTAAGTAACTAACTGTTCATGTCAAACCTGAGATCATACCTCCAAGTCCCCTAAACACAGCACAGTTTGAGTCAAGCCAGCTAACCCAACATCATTCAGTGCTAGGATTGAATGGCGCTCTTACTGCAGTATTCACCTTGGTACTAAGTAGGCGGATTTATTATTTGTGGAAGTCACAAAACTGCCAGGTTTGGCAGGCTCCGTTATCATGTTATCACAACAGAAAACACATACAGGAAAACATCTAGCTCATTTACAAGGGAAGCAAATTTGCGATCAGACAAGAGCAATGCAGTAGCCAAGAACTGCAGTAAATCTCTTCAAACTAATAGCTACATCTAATCATCTCTTCTACAGCACCTCCGAGCAAATGAATTGCATTCAGAGTTTAAACAGTCAAATCAGCATTCATTCCCTGATGGTTAGAGATGATGCTTGATAAACAAACCCTAATTTATGATTCATTTACTCCTTAAACACTTAAAGCTAGGATTGCTAACACATTTACTGTGCTTATTCAAGCATGCTAACAGATCTGGAATCTCTTAGTAATTTCTCCCTGCACCTCTCAGCATGGCTGACAGGCATCTGCCAAGGCTATAGCATATAAACCACTGAATCATGCAAAAATATTTACCCCCAAAAGATGTAGTACAAGCTCAGCTTCCTCCAGCTTCCATAGCCCCTGAAGTGTTAATCAGAAGGTAACAGTTCCATGAGTTTTCACAGGCCAGCACTGTGTCTCCTACACTTGACCTAGACAGCCTTACATAAGAAGCATCGGGACTGGGGAGCTCGCTGAATGTCATCACCAGCAAGAGTTAGAAGTGTTGGCAGCAGCAGGCAAGCAGGCAGGCTGGGAGTTTGCGTGAAAATCATGAAGTCTTTCTTGTCTTTCTCTTTTGAAATATTTTCTAAGGAGAGTTAAGAATGGCTCAGAAACTGGTCTCATTCTTTTTGCGGGAAGAATGACCAGAAGCATAAAAGCTAAATCTTCCAGCGAGTGCAAGACACCTCTTTCAGTGTTTGCAGCAAACCTAGCAGAATGAATAGCTGTCTGCAAAGTACTATGCCATGACACCTAAGATGAAGGGAATGGTATCGCAAAGTAATGACTCAAAGGCTGCCACCGAGAGCTTTTGTCTGCTTTTAACTCATTGTGGTGAGTAAGGGGAATATGTATGTATGTAATGAGAGTAGTAGTTGGAGGTGTGAGTTGGTTTGCAGGATGATAACTAAAGGATTGTAAGGAGTGTTCATGTTCCTTAAACATCTTGTTGCAAGCCAAGTCAGGGCACTTTAAATCTTATATATCACATTCAGCATGGGGTGGGTTAAACCAGTGGTGCTTAATCTATTTCAATTTGAAATATTTTTGTGAAAGCAGTAAGAAAAGCAGGTGCCTCTCTGTGGTAGTTTGCAGATAACTGTTAGATGTGTGAATTAATTACTTCCTTTGTCAATACCAAAAAGGAAGATCTGAATTTCAGCATTCAGATTTTGTATATAATAAATCTTTTGTTAGAGTTTGAAAGCAGTTTCTCAGAATGGGGCAATAGCATTCCTGTGCTTTTGAAATAAGCTTTTCTAGGCTCATTTCCAAGGATGGGGTGAATATTTTAAAATAGCAAATTAAAAACAATATACTCTTTCCATCTAATTTTTATTCAATTATCGCAAATGTGTACATGTCCTTGAAAGCTAGAAATAATAAAACCTGTCCTATATGCTGATCCTGAGGATAGTGGCATGGTATTATTAATACAAGATGCATTATGTTATTTAATTATATATAAAACTGTGGTTTGATGTGGGGATGTGGGCTAAAACATAATTCCTGAGACAACAGAAATAGAGAAGAAGCCATGCATCATTTAAAAATAATCTTAATGTGCTGCTCTTAGTGGGGGAAACTTGTGTACTAATGCGTCACACTGAGAATAGAGCAGGGAGATAAGAGAATTTTAGGTCCATGGAACAACACAATGACCTATTTTCACCCCATCATTTCACCCCTAAGGAAACGAAGGTAGAATGAAGTTAAATGGTCTGCTTAAGGTGACACAGAGGAACAGGTGAGTGTAAAGTGGTTTTCCCGATCTTCACAGTATTCTGCCTACTGTACTCCAGTGAATGCTTGCCCTTGGATACTGGTGTAAAGGTATTTTTTTTATTTTTTAAAATAACAGAAATGGCAAAAACCAAAGCGGAGTAGCACTAGTCTTCTTAGCAGTAAACTGCTTTGGGGCAAACAAGTTCTGCAGTGGATAGAATGAGGAATTTCATTCAATTACTTCTCATAGCTAATGAAAGTATTGGTGCAAAGTTGAATTAAATTTTCAAATGATGAAAGTGTTCTGAACATTAAGTGATGGACACCACGTTTGTGGTTAAGATCCTTTTATTTTGTGGTGCTTGGCTTTTCCTCTTGTAGAATAATGTTCATGAAATAAACAACACATCAGAAGCAAGGAATTGGAAAATAGAGTTTTCTAAAAAAAAACACAACTTTATCTTATTACTTTTAAGTAAATTGAGGCCCTTCTAGTCAGGCATTTGTTTTCAACCTTGCATCCCTGCCCCTAGAACAGTGCTTACTGGGTCCTCAATAAATATTTGCTGAATGAATAAAGGGAGGGCTGAAACACATTCATGATAATCCATTTATGGGGGTTGCATATTTTATTTGCCTAGTAGAGTTCCTTGGAAGAGTCATTTTAAGTAATGTAAAAAAAATAATTTATAAGTATATCAGGTTAATAATCACCATAGTAAATGAATGCTTTTGAAATCCTTGTTAAGAAACTTGTTCTTATAAAAAAAATTAGCATTCTCCTTACAATCTAATTGTGTTAGGTTGGTATAGGCTTGACAGCTCATAAGGGTAATCCAACTTTCACTAGGTTAATCAAATAGACGTTTTGTTTCTCTCAAGTGACATTAAGTCAGGTCAAGTGACATTAAGGTCAAGTGACATTAAGGTAGGACTTTACAGTCCTGGCAAACCCACAGTCCTCGGGGACCTCAGCTCATTTTTCTTCCGCTTGGCCATCCTATGTGGCTTTTATCGTCTAATTTGTTGCCTTGTGGTCTCAAAATGGTTGCCTCATCTTCAGCATCCTGTCTACATTCCAGGTAGGGGGACAGGAAGTGTGAAAGGTAAAAGGCAAGTGACAGCTGAATCAGCTCTTTCTCCAAGAGCTTTCCAGATCCCCTGGAAACTTTGACTTAATTCTTATGGGTCATAACTGTGAAAAATGCCATCACTCCTGCAGGGGAATCTGGAATAATTGTGTTTTTAGCTGAACCCATTGCCACTCCCTTAATAAAACTGGGATTCTTCTTTTTTTTTAGGCAAAGAGGTTTTCTTCCCCCATATTCATTCTCCCTTAGTATAGTTTAGGTAGTTCTGGTAAAATCATAAAGTATTCAGTGTGATCATTTAGTCTAAACTCATTTATTAAACCAAAAGAAGGAAAAGGCTTCTCATTTTAGAGCTGGGTCTTCTATGGGGAAAAATAAATATCCTACTTTTGCAATAGAACATTACTTGGGTAACAGTGGGAATATACATACACTGTAGTCCAGTGGATGCAAGGAGGAAGATGTAGGCAAACTTCTCAGAATGAAAAGGGAAAATAAGCTCATGTACCATTTCACCCCATATTCACCCTCAAAATAAGGTTGTCTAAAGTGGTTTCTTTCTGAAAAGATTCTGACAATGGAAGAATGAATGAACATGGAATTAAATCTCCAATCCTTTAAATTTCTGCAATTACCAAGTAAAATGGTGTCTCACTAATTTAGAAAAGAAATTTTGACTTTTTTTCATTTTCAGCTCAGCCTGTTATCTTGCTAGAATCAGCTAGGCTGAAAAGCACATGGTTCCTCCTGCTGAGCCATGGAAGGGCTTTGTCAGATATGCAATCAGTTTGCAAGAATGCTTCCCTAAGCCAGAAGCAGCTTTTTATATTGGAACAAAGAACAATACTGATACCTTTTAAAGGACCTGGAACAAGATGGCCCCTCAAACCAAATGTTTCACTTTGAACTTGTAGAGGGTTCCTGCCCTAACTGGAATAGAAGCTAACTCTATAGGGGCGGGGGGGGGGGGGGGAGGCATTTTTTAATTTCTATTCAACTCACTTTTTACATGGAAGATAGTTGACTTCTGAACCAAGTCACAATCACCTTGAAATAAAAAATTTGAATATTGCACCAGTCTCTTCTGCACTAAAAAGCCACATAGAGTACGTTATTCATTTCATTCACTTATAGGAATAAATAGGGGAAATTACTTGCAGAAAAGCAGACTATATCCGGCTGAACAGGTGACAGCAAAATTAAAATATATTTAGTCACTGATAGGTATGAGTTTTACAAATCGTAAACTCAAGGGAGAACACAACTGTAACTTTCTTCATGCTCCTATAAATTAATTTCTACTTTAATGTCCCATTTTTGCCTAATGACAGAAAATTTAATTATTTCTAGGCCAGCTCAATCACCTTAGTACTTTGTTAGTTATCTTAGGTTTAACTCAGTAAAACATGAGCTTTTTATTTTTGCCCTTTATATTAGAGTAACACTAGCTTTAGCAACCAGTACCCCCAAAAGTCTTGGTGGCTTAGCACAATGAAATTGTCTATTTTACTCCTGCAGATTTCTATGTGGTTGTTCCTGGCGGGGAGGTGGCCTTCCATGGGATCATTCATGAATCCTGGATCTTTCCGTCTTGGGGCTTCTCTTGCCTCTAGGTGCTCAGAGGCAGCCAACAGATGGAAAAAGAGATCCTAAAGAATTACACCTACTTCTCAGCCCAAAGGTGACACACATGAACTGGCTTTTATTTCACGGGGGAGAAATAGTCGCACAGCTCCACTTAGATGCAATGAAGGTTGAGGAATGTGGTCCCTAGTTAGGCGATTACTTCCCAGAAGGGATTCTAATTTATTTAGTCACCAAGCTATGTCTGCCAATCAATCAGTCAACAAACATTTTTTGATTGCCGACCTTTATGACTTCTGCAAAGTACTCAGGCATTTTTAGTCAGAACTCCAAATTTGGAACCTAGCTTTAGAAATGATGTTTTCAAATAGCAAATATTGGCTTCCTCGTATATTTGAACATGAAATCAGTGAGTAGGTAGAGCTCTAAACCAGCTCTCTTTGCTTAAGGCCATAGTTCTCCTGGGGGTAGAGAATTAAGGCTGTAGATGCTAAAGCAGGCGGCCCAGATCCCTTTGTCCGTCCCTTTTGTCTCATCTCTTTCCTACCCTTCCCACCCACCCACCCACCTCCGACTTCTCCGTTAAAAATTAGACAACGTGCCTGAGGGCATATAGCTAGTTGTTTCTAGGGCTTAATCTACATATAGGGTTTCTTGAGTAGGGTCAACTAAAAGAAAAATCAATTATTAAAATAGACATTAAATAGCCCAGATTTTTTGTAGATATAGCTGGATTATAAAAAATTTAGAATGTATTCCATTTAGTAAATCTCTAAACATGTTCTTCATAGTGACATTATATATGCCGAGTCATGATCTACTCACCCCCTTTATAAGTGAAGAAATTGATGAGGATATTGGGCAAATGAGAGATAAATATTAATCATAATTTATATTTGTATGAACTTATTTATAAGTACCATGAGCTAACTGATTGCGCCACTGGAGATCCAGTATATGAACTTATTTAATAGTTTACAAAACACATTCATATATTTGATCCCCTAGAACAGCAATCTTCAACATTTTTCATCTCATGGTAAACTAATTACTAATATTCTGCAGCACACCAAAAAGTACATTATATTTTTTGCCAATCTGACAAAAAATAGGTATAATTTTGTTCAGTCACACCAGATGGCTGTTGTGTTGGCTGTTGTCATTTTTTTTTTATTTGACAGTCTAAGGGAGAAGATATCAGTGCCCTGACTAGACAGTCAGGTATTGCATGTTTTATAAATCCTTGCAGCACACTGGTTGAAAATCCCTGCCCAAGAGACTTGGATTTGTACCAGATCCACACAAGGTCTGTATAGCAGTTGCTTACCTAATTCCATGCCCCGCCTAAGAGAGAGCCAGGATGCATCCCACGTCATGGGATTCTGCAGAGAACAGTGCTGTCTGCAGCACATCACACGGTAGGCTTGTACTAGTCAAGTGCAGGGCCACATGGATGTGAAGTGGAAATGTGAGTAAGGAATGTCCAGTCCTGACTCCAAACCTGCCGCAGAGCTGTCTGTTCCCACTCAGGCCTCCACCTGGACCCCTGGGAGAGAAGCTTAGGATTTCAGTTGGGCTCAGTCCTGTGAAATCCAGTGATGAACAGATCTTCGGAAATGCCAAGCTCTGTTACTATTCTGACTAACAATCAGTCCCCAGACGATTTTTATTTTGGGGAAGAAAATCTCAGAAGTGATTAGCCAACTAGCTGAACAGCTGCACATGTCTTCAGATTTGAAAACATTGCCCTCTTTGCAGAGGACAGGCCACTGGGCTCCGTTTAAATGCAAGCACATTTCGCATGTACAAGGAACAACTCCATCAGCTAGCTTAATTAGGGAGAAAAACTTTGCCTCTAATTCCAGTATTAAGGCACATTGTAAATTAACAAATCATAAGATTTGGAGGCTGGATAAAACCCCAATTTTTGCTATTGCCCCACATGGCTACCTTGACAAATACAAAGCAGATAAAGTTTGGCTTTAAGTGTGTTGTTTTTTTAGGAAAAAATATTTCTAGAACAAATTCCAAACCACTATTTTTCTGTACTAATATAAGACAATTTTTAAAATGTAATTTTACTAGTTTGATATTTAAATTTTGAGCCCCAATGAATTATTAGTCTAATAAACAATAATGGTTTATATATATTGAGTGTTAAAAACACAAGCTATTGTATTTCAAAATAAATTGGTTTTTCAAAACAGAGCAGAATAAATATTGCCTATAGGAAATACCACATCTTGACCATATTCTCTCTGTAATCTTGGTTCCCTATATTCAGGGAAACCTTTGGAGGGGGGAAAAGGAAATAATGATCCTCTCTCATAGGATTATTGTAAATTTT